TCACTCATTCTAGGTCAGCTGCTCAAATAATTTACATTTCTCTTTTTTTCTAGTCAACAGGTGAAAGAGGAGAGCTGAGCTGTGGCTGGGCCTTTCTGAAGCTTTTCACTTCCAGTGGGATTCCTGTTCCTTCCAAGTGAGTTTGTTGCCTTTTCCTGCTCCCCCTGTATTTACACAGATGTATATACATCTGTTTTAGACTGAGAGTTAAGCTCATCTTTCATACTTAGACACCTCTGGGGCAGGGGGCATCCAGACCAGTCCTTTATGATTCTGGCTCTTCTTTGCCACATTTTCCCTTTCCCATGTGAAAACTGGGAGACTGGTTCCCAGGACCTGGCATCAGGTAGGAGTTGTGAATGAATTGCTCTTGGAGTGTGAATTATATTTTGCAGCTGATTTATGATTAGTGGGTCCAGTCATCTGAAAGAATAATAAAGTGTGTATTTTTTTATTTTATTAAATGTTGGAAAACTTTCTGGTTATTGACAGAAATAATTCATTGTAGCTCAGACTTTCAAGACTTGTTTTTTTCCAACTATTGGTAGACATATATATATATTGTGTATATGTATTCTGAATTTATCTGGGTTACAGCTCAAAAACAAATACCCACAGGACACCTCTACTCTACTGTTCTAGAATTCTCTATATCTCTTCTAAGTCTGATTTTTAAAATATTGTTCTACTATTTCATTAAGTAAGTTTGGTATTACAGATTAAATTTCATGCTTGTTTCAGCAGTGACTTACTCTTGGCAGAACTGGGGCTACATTATCCATTAACAAATTTTAAATATGGAAGATTTTAATTGTTGAAGTAGTGATTCCTCAAAACCATTTTAGTGAAACAATTGCTAAATTCCATACAAGAAAAATATTTGGGCTGTGGAAAAGAAAGAATGTTGTTAATAGCTTTTAAAATAATTGACCTCCTAGTACAATTAAATTCCAAAACTAGTTGAATTCCCAATATCATATGGGCTTCAAATTTATCTTTATTGACAGGATGTATGAGCTGGTCCTGAGTGGTGGCACTCCCTATGAGAGAGGCATTGAGGTTGACCCATCAATATCAAGGAGAGGTGTGGTTTATTTTCAATATAATATAAACATAATAATGTGATTAATGCTGCATTTCCTTCACAACAGTCCCCACAGCCTGGTTTGGGTTTTTGTGTATTTCATGTTTTTGCACGTATTTCATTATTTATCTGCTTTTGCCTTGGCTGTGGGGAGCTGGGTGCTACCAGGCTAACTAAACTTGAAAGAGTTCTCAACCCACTGAAATGCTCATTTTTGTAATATAATTATTACTGTTGTTTCAAACTGACTTTTTGAATCTGGGCTGTCTCTTCCTGCAGCAGGCTCTGGGGTTTTTCAGCAGTTTATGAGCCTCAGGAAGCAACCTGTGCTTCTGGTGAAAGTGAAGTCACCAAGTGTGCATTCCAAAGACATCCTAAAGTGAGTCCTTGTGGTTCCATAAAATGAATAAGTATTCCACATAGCCTAGAGAAATCTGCAGTGTTTGCAATGAAAATCTCAACTGCTGTCCCTTATTTTCCCAACAGTTTTCTCCCTGAAACATTAGTTGGGGGCATGTGCTACATCCATCTCCTGGTGTTTTATCGGCAAATCCTTGGAGATGCCCTCCTGAAGGACAGGACGAGCATGCAAAGCACAGGTGAGCACTGGAGGAAGATCAGGTTCATCCAGGGAATGACTCTTGCCAGGTCTCCCTTTGGTAAGAAATGTTTTTGGCACTCAGTCTGAGTTATCCTCTTTATTTTTAGTTTTTAATTATTATTTACTTACCGACAGTAGGGAGAGACTGAAGTTGGAGAATTCTAGATTTAGAACTCAGTGTCTTGCCCTGATTATGCAACAGAACTAATGATAGTTTATAGCCTTCTCCATTTTAAAACCAACTTGAAATTAAAAAAAGTTACATTTCTTAACTGTACTATGTATGAATTTATATAGGTGAGAACTGCTACACTTACCTGATTTGATCTTCTTAATTTAGGACAGTACATCGGGCTGACAACCTCTCCTGGAGTCAAATTGCATCCCTTTGGATTCAGACTTCATTTGAAGTCATTGAAAGGCTTTATCCCAGGAGTTGTTCTGGTAGCTGTGCAACTAAAGAAGATTTCTATTATTTCAAAATCCACCATAGCTTTAGGAATAGACAATTGAAAATGTCTGTTCTACTTCCCAGAAGTCATCAGTCCTGGCTGTTATCCCCGAAATGTTTGAGCATTAGTAAATGGTTTATGTTTACCAAACTTGCCATCAGCTTTAAGGTGAAGGAACAAGTGTACATTCGATATTTGAAATCACACGGCAACGAAAACCCTTCAGCCAAAATCCTGCTCTCTGTCACTTAGAATCTTACCCACAGTCTCATTAATTAAAATAATCACAGGAGCAGAGTGATTTCTCATGGAAGTGACCCAAAAAGCATCAAGATACCTGTGCAGTGGAATATGTGCTCCATTGGGAAAATTCACTGTGCACTTGGTTCCTGGTTCTCCTCAAATGCCACACCAGACGTGCCAGGGTGAGGTAGAACCCAAGTGTGTTTATCCATAACACCCAAACTAAGCAGCACAATTGCAGGTGTGTATAAAAAAAGACAGGTGCAGAAATGAGGGAAAACATCTCTGACAGGTAAATCAGGAAGGGCTCGTTTGGTGGCATTCCCAATAAACAGCACTGGGGTTTGTGTGTCTCCTCTCCTGGTTTAACTGTCTCTCAGCCACTGAGAATTGGCTGCAGTCAGAACAGTTTTTAGGGAGTTCTCTTACTTTCACTGCTCTGGAGAACTGTCACAGCTCATTTTCCCTTTGGAATAATCCAACAGGAGAGGATGTGCTTGCTGAATAACTCAATGTGCCAATACTTTGAAAACTGATTCTTCCTTAGCCTTGAATGTGTTTGTTTTGTTTCAGACTTAATCTGTAATCCTGTTCTAGCAACTTTCCCTCAACTCCTGGATCAGCCAGACCTGATGGATGCACTTCGGGTATGTCACCTTGTCAGGATTTCCAGGCAAAATTTAAGGAGTTTTTTTTAGTCCTGGGAGAAGACAATGTTCTTCAGCCTTACTCTGATTGTACATTTCATTTCAGAGTGCCTGGGCAGACAAAGAAAGAACATTGAAGAGAATTGAGAAGGTAACAAACTACAGGTTTTTCTTTTCATATATTCAGGGTAATTCCAACTAGCTGCTCCCTGCCGCTGCAATTGGTGTTTAGTTTTTCCTTTCACCATACATCTGTTTAGAAATTAAAGATATGTAAATGAAGTTCTCAACATTTCTCACCCAGATTTATAACAGTAAACCAGGAGCAGGAGGAAAATTTGTAACTTTTTATTTCAGTGTTGTTAAGGGGGAACCTGTTACAGGTCGGTACCCAGAGTGGCTCCCTGTCAAGATGTGCTTCCAAGAATCAGCTGGTAAAAGCTTTCCATGGATACAAAAAGGGGCTGTGTATGCCTGCAAAATTGTCTTCCCTCCTCCGAACTCTGAGCTTCAGTCCTTCCACAATCTGCTTTGGAGAAGGCCACCTAAATTCCTCAGATCTCCCTACCCTAGAGAGTTGTAATCTCACGTTTTGGCACGTAGAGAGCTGGAGAGCTGACCTGGTTGTCCCCACACTCACCCATACTTTGTCTTATGTCCTGTGCCCTGGACAGAGAGCAGCAGCAGGAACTGAATGAGAAAGCCATCCCTGGAAGCAGCAGTGGGATATTTCATTCCCTGTACATGCTCCTGAGTTGATGCACAAGGATAGCTCCCTGTTTATGCAGAACACCTACTGAGTCAGAGCAGCTTTTTCAGGGCCATTCATCCAAAAGGAGAGCAGATCTGCTCACAGAATTGGCAACTCCCCGGGATCCCAGAACCATCTAGTTCTACCTGAGTGGCATGTGCCACTCCCACGGGAGGATTGCTGCCTGCTGAATGCTCACCCCTCGCATGGTTCCATGAGGCTGAGCTTTGAAACGCTCCCTGCCAGGCACAGCACTCCTGGGGCTGCGACACTCTGGACTTGGATCTTTCCTGTGTGTTTGATAATTGACCGGGCTGATCCTTTGTCTCTGGGTTTTCCAGACTGATCTTCACGGGGGAACACACAGGTCACACTGTTTACAAAGAGAGGGACAACAGTGCCCAAGGGCAGTATCATCTCTGGCTCCAAGGAGTGGGATTGGAGCCATGCTCCACCTAGGACAGCAGGGAAAGAGAGGAGTTTGGGCTTCCAGGGCAGGGAGGATGTGGCACTGCTTTTAAGAAATATAAATGCCTCACAACAAAGGGCTCTCAGTGCCTGTAGTTTGTGGGAAGGCTGGCAGAGTTCAGGGTGCAGATTTGTGGATATGCTGGAGGCACTTTGGAAAAGTGCTTGGCAACACCACATGTTTGCACTGAGGTATTTTCAAACACTCTTCTCTGCAGAGAGATCAAGAATTTCTGAAGTCTGCGTTTGTCCTGGTGTACCACAACTCTGTGTTCCCTCTGCTCTGCTCCACGTTCCTTCCCAGCTACAGATGGGCTGAGGAAGAGGTGGAATTATCTCGCTGGAAGGTGATCCATGACTTCCTGAAAAGGAGCCAGGAGAAGGACGGCGCGCTGGAGTACCTGCTGTCATCAGAAAACACCCACAGAGCCTTTGACATCTCAGAGCTGGCCTATGATTTCTTAGGAGAAGTGAAGGAAAACAATCCTGGAGAATGAACAATTCAGGCTCTCTAAGGACATAGTAACAATAAAATTAAATTCTTACCAAAGAGATTGTGTAGGAGCTGAATTGTAATGGATATTTTAGCACTATTAAGATTTTGAGAGAGATTAAATTTTATCTGTTTATCTACTGGAAATTATATTTTAAATTTTTAACTTTGCAGCATTAAACAAGGCTCTGGTTGCCTGTTACTACCTGTTGTAGCCATGTCAGGTATTATATTTTGCCAAAGTTGAAGTAGCCCTTTTCTCCTCTCTTGCAGCTTCCAATTAATTTCCAGTGTTGTTTTAATGAGTGAACAAAAGGCTCTTTGTCCCAGTCCCCCAGCAGCCTGGGAGCAGGGAAGGGAAAGAGCAGCGTTCTTTAAGAATACTGCTGAACAAGGGCAGCCAGCTTAAGGGAAGAATCCTCTCTTGTCCAACCAGTGACCAGTAGGTTGCTCCATTTTTAGATTGTTTGCCTGTTCTTCTCCCCCACTCAGAAGGCTGGGTTACTCCCAGGAATGTACCTGACCCAACACAAATAGCAGCTGGTGGGAATCCTGGGAATGCTGTGTTTCCCCAGGATTATTTCCTCTGCTGACCCCTGAGCGCCTTGTGACCACAGGCTCAGTGTGCTGCCCATTCCCAGGGGGAAGTGATCAATCCACTTTCTCTTTTGTGCTGGAGCATTTGGATGCTTCCTGCAGGGCGATGGGGACATTACCACTGAATCACACCTGGATTTAAGACCAGGCCAGGCTCAGTTTTGTCTGGCGAGATTTGAAACAAGATTTTTGAAAACCTCCGCTGCATGGAGCCAAAACCAGCTCCCACTGGAGTATTTGTAAACAGGAGCCTCCAGAAATACCACAGAACACTTCCCCCAGCCTAGGAAGTGCTCAGAGACATGGATTTGATCTTTGCTCTGTGTTGTGCAAGAGCTTGGCATAGAAGCCGAGTTCCTGGGGCATCACCTGTCTTGCCTAACAGAGCTGGAATAACTCACTGGGACAGCGTCTTCCTCCTGCTGTAGCCCATTGCCCGGGTTAATGGGTTCATTCTGTCCTCTCTGGGCCACCAGGCAGAAGTGCCATCCCCAGCCTTTCATCCTACCCCTTTTCTGGGAGTTCTGGGGCCAGACAGAGTGCACTGGATGAGACAGCAAGTGCTTCCCGAATCTAAACTGCATTTGCCAGGAGGCAGAAATTCCTGCCGCTCCCCTTCAAACCTTACTGGGCTATCGGGAGCACATTGCCAAACCCTTCTGGTGTGTTTGTAAAAATTTACCTGCTAGTTTCTGAAGGTTGGATGTGCTTGGAGGGTGTGGGGGGGTCTGATGTGACCGCGGAGCAGAAACCTGAACAGAAAGGGGAGGAGGCAACAACAGTGGAAGCAAAAATATTTCAGGATTGGAAGCGTGCCAAGAGAATTGTTTGCAGGAAACATTTCTGTTCCGTCAAGGTGTAGGAAGTTTTTTTCTTTCCCCCTCCAGTTAATGACCTCGCACTGGTGCGTGGTGGGGCCGGGGTCCCGCTCTGTCCCGTGCCGGTTGGCAGTGGGATGCACAAAGCCGCCGCAGTCGCAGGGGTGCCAGGGGCTCGTCGGGCTGGGTCAAGGGCGCGGTGCCAGCCCAGGCCGGTTCCTGTGCTCACGTCCCGCGGGCGTGTCCCTTAAATCCCGCATGGGAGCGGCGCGGGACAGGCAAGCGCCAGCGGAGCCGAGCGGAGCGGTGTCAGCGAGGAGAGATGGCCTCGGTGGGTCCCCCCGCAGCCTCCACGCAGCCCGCTCTGCCCTCCGGACCCGCCGTCTTCAAAACCATCCCCTACGCCTTCATCCTGCCGGAGATCGTGAGTATGCCTCGCTCCGCTGCCTCATGGAACCCACTCCTGGCTAAAATACCCTGAAACCATCCTGAAGGCATCCTTACTGGAAAGTGACATCTTGTCTTGGAGCTTATGCTGAATGCACAAAGTATTCCTGACGGGGTTTTTAGGAACAGCTTGAGGACAAGGTATACTCAGCTCCATCACAGCCTGTGTGAGGGTCCCTGGCTGCCGTGGGGCTGAGAGAGGCTGAAGAGCTGATGGCTCGTCCAGGGCATGCTAGCAGCTCTTGTTGTCATGAAGCAGCTCTTGTTAACTTCTAGAAATGGCTTGAAAATCAAGGGAATTTTGCTCTCTGTATCAAATCGCTCCAGGGGTTGAAGACAATTGGGCGTCTGCTAATGTGCAATGACATTCCATGATTCTTTCAATTGCTTCTGGGTCCAGAGGGCATCCAGGGGACCAGCCAAGATTTTAGCTGGTGTACTTTGTCATGGTGCTGGCAATCCACACACCCTGTGCTCCATAGGCACGATCCCTGCCCGTGGTGGCTGGCTCAGCTCCCTTCTGCAATTCCAGGGCTTTCACCCACCACAGCTGGGATGGCACAGGGTGGCACGGGCTCATCCTGATAACTCCATGGGCTTTTTGTAGTCAGTAAATATTTTGGGTGGATCGCTCCAGGCTGGTGCATGGAGCTGAGAGGAAACTTCCTTGTGCTGCAATTCCAAGCCCCGGAGATTAACGAGTGAGCAGGGCTGGGTTGAGGCAACTGCTCACTTTTTCCCAGATAAAAGCACTTTTTCTGGCTTCTCCACCAAATCTCTTGGGGTGAGACATTTCCTTGTGTGGAAGGCAGCAGCAAACCCTTTCCTTTTGTGTGAACACTCATTTCCCATGAGTTTTCAGGGAAACCAGTGCCAATTTGCTTGCTTGCTTGCATCCCAGTGCTCTGGGAAAGATGCAAGGGTTCTGCTGGCTGCTGCAGCTGGCCCAGGAGGGAGGCAAGGAGGGAACTGGGGAGGAAGAGGGCTTTTTCTCATTCCACACTCATCAGAGGCACTTGATTGTCCCTGGCAGCTCTGTGGGACCTGGGTGTGGATCCTCGTTGCTGCTACCTCCGTCTCCTTGCCTTTGCTGCAGGGATGGGTGATGTACGTGTCCCTCACTTCCTGCCTCATCTCCCTGCTGCTCCTCATAAGCTACCTCCTCGGCTTCCACAGGAACAGCGAGAACTGGAAAGTGCTGGTAAGGAGGGGATGGAACACGGGCAGATGGCAGCAGCAACGTGGGCGCAGGACTGCCATAGCTGGTGACCCACTGACCCTTTCTTCCTTTTACCTTGACTGGAAAGTCCAGGGGAGGTCTGCTGTGAAACCACTGCCTGGGAGGATCCAGTCCCAGGCCTATCCAGGCACCTGTCCCCCTTTGGGGCACTCACAGGTGCCTTGTTTTGCAGGACAGTTTGTACCATGGCACCACAGCCATTCTGTACATGAGCGCCGCTGTCCTGCAGGCCAACGCGACCATCAACTCTGAGTTCGGTGTCAATGCACCACTCAACTACCAACTCAACAGCGCCGCATCGGTGAGTTCACCCTGCTGGGCTGCAGAACACACACTTACCCTTGGAAGGGCAACAGCATGTGTTAAAAGTCACAGCAGAGCCACCCCAGGCCCCACAGTGCCAACTGAGCAGAGTTTCAGCTCCACAGCTCTGTGGATGGTGCAGTTAGCGTTGGCTTCTCAGGATCCACCAGTTCACGGACAGCCTAACGTGGCGGGATGCTGGGAGAAGCTGAGGCTTTTCCTCTCCTTTGAGGTGGAGGGAGCTCTATGCTGGGAGGCTTCCCCATGCTGTGAACACTGGGAGAAGATGGGGTTTGACTCTGCCAGCTGACCCTTCCTCTTCTTTCTCTCGTGCAGTTCTTTGCCTTCCTCACGACCTTCCTGTACATCCTCCATGCCTTCAGCATCTACTACCAGTGATCCTGGCAGCACCAGATTCACCTTTTCAGGATGAGGGCTTTCCCAGTGTGAAAGCCCCAAGGTGTCTGCCCCAGCCCTGTCACCAGGCCTCAGGAACAGCAAGTCCTTTTGCACTTCATCACAGGAGGGACTTTGCTGGCACACATTGGTTTGCCTGCGGGACATTTCCTGCCTTACCTGGGGGAGGGACTTGCAAGGGGAGGGACTGGGCACAGGCCCCAAGCCTCCAATATCGACATTCTGCCAAATATTGACAACCATGGGAAGAGGAAAACAAAAACAATCACTGTTCCTTCAGCAAACAATCTCCTTTCTTATGTTATTTACCTTTCTCTAGTTCAGCTCCATCCCTCCCCAACACAAGTTCATAACAAGTTCCTTGACTTTCAGATGGTTTCATTTGGTAAATGATGTATTTGGAATAAAGAGTCAATGGACATATTTTGACTACTCTGTAAGCTGTGTTCACTGAAAAAGCTCATTTTACTTCCCAAGAGTTAGAAAAGAAACAGAAAATGTTCATTTGGAAAGCTACAACAGAATTTAAACAAGCAAATCATAGAACCCATAGGAAATTTCTAGATGTAGTACAAAACTACAGCATGAAAAGAATGATTACACAGGAGGAGAACAGCCATTTACAGCAGTTCTCCTCCTGTGTCTCCTGATTCCCACTACAAAACCTGCAGGTGAGGAGTCCAGGCACTGGCACCACTCTCATGGAGCACTGCTGTTACTGCTGTCCCTCCTCCATGTCCTCAGCCTCGGAGTGACTGGAAGGAGCTCCCTCCTCTCCCTGCTCCAGGCAATCCTGCAGGTCTGGGATACTGTTGGCTCGCAGCACATCCAGGTAGAGCAGGTAGTCCTGGAGGCAGGCTGGCAACGGCAATTCCCGGATCACACGCTCCAAGCGCAGGCGCTCGCTCCCCAACAGGGACCGGATCTCCAGGCGGCACAGATGGGACAGGGAAGGAAGAAAGGCTGGAAAATGAAATCCTAAGTCAAACACAGAGCAGCTCTTACTACACCAATATATTTACTAATAAAAAAGGAAATAAAGAGAGAACTTAATCTCAATTTCCCCAAATAACTCCCATCTTTTTAAACTCCAAAAACATCCTCATTAGCTTTGAATATTCTAAAGGAAATATTATTAAATGACATTATCACTTGGACAACTTAAAAATTATTACAGACCCTTTTAAAGAAGAATTTTCTTTGAAAGGAATCATTAACAAAGACACGTAAGTGCAGTTTTTCAGTCACATAACACATGACCTGCTTTTCTGAAGGCTGAACTATAAAAAATTCCTGCACAACCAACTGAATCTTTTTGGCTGGTCACATTTTGATTATGTTTGATTTTTATGGTTTATATTTAATTATTGTCCAATGCTTACAAAACAGGACAGATGCTTCACTGGAAATACAAATCACATTAGAAAAATAAAACATAACTAAGTCATACTATCATCTTCTCATAAATCTCCCCATCTGCAGCCTGGAAGCTGAGCACATGGAGACATTATTTTCCTGCCTGTATTCCTTACCAAAATGGCTCTTGGAAGTCCAAGTGAACTTCTCTTTGTATTGGGAAAGGTGTTGCTCCACAATTGGAGGAAGTCTGCTCCAATTCATGAACTCCAGGACAAAATTAAGGACATCCTCACTCATAGAGAAAATCCTGCATAACAAAAACTCCTCTAAAATACCTTTTAAAAGTATTTGTAGATTACAGAATAAAAGACCAGAAAGCATCACGTGTAATACACAAGAATAGTGAGATTCATTAAGTCACTGAGTTGCAAACTTGTAGTGTGTTTACTACAGCCTGCAGAAAATACAAACATTTCATAACTCTAAAACTGCAGTACCCCATTAAATATAAAACATCACCAAGCTGTTTATATGTGGAAAAACTTCAATAATAACAATAACAATTAAAAAAATTTGACTGGAACTTTTGCCACATTGTGTTAAACAAAACAGTCTCAAACTGCATCCGTTTCCTCTCCTCCCAGCCTTGGCTCCGCTTCACTTCCCATTTGTTTCCCATCCCTCCTCACCTATTTCTCCCATTGAAATTTCTTCTTACCATGGCTGTATTAAAGTATTGCACACACAATTTGCAGTTAAATTTGGGAGTTAAGTAGAGATGTTCGATATAAATTTGGGAAGCAATGCTTTATTGCTACCCTAGAAAAAGGCAATTTCCAGTCTGGCTTTCTTCCTAAATAAAACTGTTTCACTGTCTCCAGACATGACGTGCAAATGATTTATTTCAGACTTTCCACAACCCCTCCCGTTCCTGATGGTGGCAACTGATTATCAAGGGCCATCCTGTAGCAGCTTTGCACATTAGCATGAGCTGTTTAAGTAAATAAAGACAAGGCTCCCTGCTTTACCAGAACCTGCACATGAAATTCACGGGGTTGAAGCCAGCCAGGAGCAGGCAGGGCAGCCATTCCTTGTATTCCTTCTGCACTGTGCTGCTGTAGAGGATGAAGTCTGTTAATTCCTCCTCTGAGGGCAGGGAACAGCCAAACCTCAGGAAGCGCCGGAAGAGAGCAAACTTCTTATGGCACAGGCAGTGTGCCAAGTTGATCCCACGCAAGGTGATGCCATATTTCAGAAGGACATCAATGAACTGATAATACCTGTGAGAGGGAGAAGGAACAGGACATCCCATGAGCTTTCCCTCAGAAAGCACCTACCACTTTTTACATCGGTCATCAATAAAACATTCCAAAATGTTTTCATTAAAATCCTTTTATCATTACCCACTGCAACAAGGTAATAGGGTAAGGACTGAGACTATGACTGGTGCTTCCTTTCAGTGATTAGAGGGAACGTTACTCCACAGAAGTGGCAACATGTGTCACCTGCCTCCGTCACAGAGCAATTGCCTGCTCTGCATCCCTTCCTAAATTATTTATTATAAAGCAACATCAGGAGAGAAAGGGAAAAATGGTGTCCAAGGATTTTTAAAGGCAGCTTCCTAGGAGCAGGCTATAAACTAAATTCACTACTAACAAACCTCATTAATTTAAATGGTAGCCATAAATAAATTATAAATATGCCATAAATAAATTTCAATCCATGTACAAAGAAATAATCTGTTAAAATCTGAGAAGATTCAAAAGCCGTTTTTGAAGATTTTTTCCTTAGTGTAGCATGTGAGTCACATTCCAGGACTTCACATTAATATTCCCAAGGAAATGAGAATAATGAGGAGTGTCTGCAAAGGCGGAACACACTAGAATTCTGGAAAACTATTAGATGATAGACAGCAGTTGAGGGAAGAAGGTGGGAAACTACATATTCAAAGTAAGTTAATTAAAGCAAATATGATTATGAATAACTTCAAAATAGAAGAAGTTTCCTTACTGTTTTTGGAAGATCATACACATGGGGGACCTGCAGCCGAAGTCCAGGCACTCCTGAGCATCTGGGCTGAAGCCCTGCTTGAGCAGCATTTCCAGGCACTCCCCGTCCCCGCCATAGAGCGCGGAATACACGGGGCTCACTTTGCCCTCGCCCTTGTCACAAATCCGGTCAGTGACTGGAATCAGCAGCTCCAGTATCCTGGAGATGTTTAAAACCACTGTTTTCTGATCTTGTTGCAATGATTAACCTTAAACACACAGCCATTTTTTCACAGGGTCATTACAGCTTTGGAAGAAAATAGTGTTTTTTGAATTTGCAGCTTTATAATTCCATACACAGACCCTTGGCAAACGTTGTGCTTTAGGATGGATTTGGGCTGAAAATAAATATTTTAAACCAAACCAGGGACAGCTACTTCCTATTACCCAGAAACTCTTTTTACAGCAACAGAACACCAGTGCACATTAAATCCCAACTCCAAGGAAGTTTGGAAGCAAACTGTAAATGTGAGTTGCAAATGAAACGAATTCTTAGTTCTGTGAAACAGAAAGATCATTCTGTTTACAGCTCACACACCAGGCCACATCACATTAGTGACAAACACCAGTTCCTTTGCTGCTGGAACTTACTGGTGCTGCATGAGTTGCCAGTGATGTATCATCATTTATATATTTAAGTGCTGTCCGTGTGAATCATGGAGTTCCTGAGAGATCCTTCTCCTCAATGGTCTACTCCCAAAACTTCCTTCCACTCTTGGCTCATTGCTGTGGAACTGACTTGTATATCTGAAATTGGGCAAAGCTACAAATGCATCTTTGGAAAGATTAAAGAAACTGGTTTTGTGGCTTTGATTTTTCTGGCATGTCCAGCCAATTCAATATTTGCATATAATTACTTCTGCTACTTAATACAGAATTCTAATTAGCATGTCATGTATAATGTATAACATGGTTATTTGCTTTTTTAAATGGAAAAGTAAAATGGCCATGGAGTTAGCTGATATCCGGTTTAGCACCGTGGAAAACCCTCCGAATTCCTTAGGCTGTGGCTCAAATCCAGGTCAGATGCTGAATTAAAAATCATATAATCATAGAATGGTTGGGATTGGAAGGGACCTTCAAGGTGATGCAGTTCTACCCCCTGCAATGGGCAGGGACACTTGCACTATCTCAGGTTCCTCCAAGCTCCATGCAACCTGGCCTGGAACACTTCCAGGGATGGCACAGCCACAGCTTCTCTGGGCAACCTGTGCCAGGGCCTCACCACCCTCACAGGGAAGCATTTTTTCTTAATATTTAATCTAAACCTACTCCTTGTCAGTGTGGAAGAAACCACTAAGGGAAACTAATCAGAACTTCTAAACTACAGATCAGCTTGAACACTGCCTTTTCCTCCCTTTTAGGGCTGAACTTCCTCCTTTGGGGATCAGATTTGTGTGACCGGGGTCTTCTATCTGAATGCCACTGCAACCACCTACTTTGCATGGCCCATCTCAGCTGCTGCATGAATGGGTAACTGCCAGTTATCCTCATTGCAGTAGAGGTTTGGGTCTGCCCCTGCAGTCAGCAGCAGCTTCACACAATCCAGGTGTCCCTCCTGTGCAGCAATCAGCAGGGGAGTAGCCCTGTCCTTGGCCTGGCAGTTGACATCTGCACCTGACACAAAACAAAACCAAAGTCACATCCAGCAGTCATTATCTTTCACAGGGTGGCTTCAAATTCAGCAAGTTTTCCTCAGCAATAACGAAATAAAACAAATAACATTTGAAATGACAATGTGAAAGAGTAGAGCTACAATTGCATTAAGTGGGAGTTGTTGGAAGCGTGGCCAGGGAAATAAAGGATCATGGTTACCGTGGGACAGAAGCAGCCGCAGACTCTCCAGCTGGCCATACTGAGCAGCCACAAACAGAGGGGTAATTCCAAAGTCATCACGACAGTCCTTGCTGGCCCCTTTCTCCAGGAGCATTTGCATTATCTCAGTAGAACTCTGAAATAAATGTTTTTATTCTCAACCAGCATGAAAATGAGGAAATTACACAACTGGTTTTCCCCGACATGCTCCAGATAGAAATAATAAAACCCACAATATATTCAATATTCTGAAGATGCACATAAAAATTAATGGTAAAAGAAATTAGGCAATGTCAAATTGATCACTTTTGCTCATTTACATGAAAAAGTCATTTGTATGTGTTAAAACTATTAAGCCAATATATTTTTAAGTACAAACTTTTGACTGTTAGAGTAGGTTAGGAAAAATTACCTGACAAAAATGCAATAATTATTAAAGAAATAATTATCTCCCAAAATACAACTGTTACACCAAAATTACATTATGTGCTCACAGGTTACCTGAAAGGAAGCTTGGTGCAAAGAATTCCATCCAGACCAAGAATGAGAACCTTCAATATTTGCTCCATGTTGGAGCAGGAACTTGACAACCTCTGCATGTTTATGTTCAACCGCTTCCATAGAACAGTAATAAAAAAAATCATATTGAAGAATTTTAAAAAGAAATAATTTAAGTATTTGGATTTAAAAGGTCTCACTGCCAACTTCTTGAAACAATAATCACAATTCCTTTAAATTTGCCCATTATATACTTGCTTGCCTTTTATATTTAGATTCCCAAAACAGTGTTGGAGAATGAAAATAATGCTAAAATTCCCCCAAACTTGGAAAGACTTGGTAACAAAGGTAATATGGCAACGCATGATGTCTGGGTAGAGAGGCAAGTAAACCAATAAGCATATTTAATCAGATTATTTAGACCCTCAGGATTCACCATAACAGAAGTTTTAAGCCTTCAATTAAGTCAAACGTAAGTCATAGAAAAAATGCTAAAACAATGGACCTTAACTGTGAAACTAGGAATGACCAAAATAAGTCTTTTTACATAAGAGTTAGAGAGGTATTACAAAAATCAAAAAGGCTTTGAAACAGATATAATCCTGAACCTCCTGAAGTTTTTCTGTGCTTGACCAGTTTGCTTTTATAATTTTGTTTTAAAACACTCTCTGAAGCAGATTTACCCATAACCAAAAGGTTATTTCCAGACCCCCCCTCCATCTCTCAGTCTAAAGCCCGGTATTTAGGGCTACAAAAAGATGCAACATGGCAGGCAAGTAAGAAACTCCAGTGAGTTTAAACTCAGAGAAACTTGAGTTTTAACTGGTGAGTTCAAACTCTGGGATTTGAGGAAAGCTCGTGTCACCTAGGAAGAGTGGAGTGGTGGCAGATTCGGTGCTGACATCATTGAGGTCAGCCCCAGCTTCCAGGAGAACCCGGAGACATTCCACAGAGCCGTGACTGGCCGAGAGGTGCAGAGCACACATCCCTTCAAACGTCCTTGAGTGGATGTAGTCTTCAGCTGGAGCTGCAGAGGAGGATAATGAGGGGAAAAAGAGGATATTCGGCAGTGAATTACAAAATACAATCATTTTAAGAAAATAATGGAGTTATTTGAGATATGTGGCCAATGGAACACTCATGAATATGCTGCTACCATCCCAAGTATCACCCACGAATTGCAATGTGTCAACATCTCCTTATCATGGATGGGAAGCCACACAGAAAATCCCCAAAGAATAGAATAAATCTATGTAACTTGTATTTTCTATGACAGGGTAATTTAGCAGAAAACCACACTATTTCCCATTAGGTTTTCCTTACCTTTATCAATGAGCAGCTTCAGGCACTCACTGGAATTGTGTGCTGCCGCTTCGTGGATGGGCAACCACCTCCTGTTATCCGGGACATCGATGCTGTATCCCCGACTAATCAATTCCCTCAGTATCTCAACGTTTCCTTGTCTGGCCGCAAGGCCCACGGCCGAGCACCGGTCGGAATAGGCTTCCGTGAAATCCATCCCTGGCGTGGAACCCTGGTAGGAGGAGGAGAAAAAAGAGAGATATGTGGTACAATATAGGTATGAAGGGGGTTTGTTTGTTTTGCAGAAGATTTGGTTTGGTTTGTAGGGAGATGGTGGCTTGGGGGGCTTAGGGGGAGGTAGTTGTTGTGGTGGGCTGGGGAAGGTCGTTTGTGGCTTTTGAGGGGGAATGGTTGTGGGGTTAGAGGTGAGGTGGTTGTGTTTGGAAGGTGTTTGGGAATATAAGGGGAGGTTGAGTTGGAGGAGAGCTGGTTGTTACGGGGTTAAGGGGCGGTTCTCTGGGGGGTTCGAGGGCAGAGGTGGTTGGGGGTTTTGGAGCGAGTTGATTGTTTGGAGGGATGTGGTTGGTTGTAGGACTGGGGGGCAAGGCAGGTGCTTGGGGGAGATTGTTTGTGGGTTTGGAATGTGGTCGCTGGTGGGTTTTGGGGGACGCAGTCGTTTGTGGGGTTGGGGGAGCCTGTCCGAGCCGTCCCAGCGCCGCTCCCTTCCAGGCTCCCTGGCCGGACCGCGGCGCGGCCGCCGCCTTCGCCCGGGGCCGCCCCGCGGCTCTGCGCAGGCCCCGCTGGGCCGGGCCGCCATGTGGGTGTTCGGCTACGGCTCCCTCATCTGGAAGGTGGATTTCCCCTACCAGGAGAAGTTGGTGGGGCGCGTCCGCGGCTACAGCCGGCGCTTCTGGCAGGGCAGCACCGACCACCGCGGGGTGCCGGGCAAGGTGAGCCGGAGCCGGGGGGAGCGCGGCCGCTGTGCTGGGCCCGGGCTCGGGCCTGCCCCGCGGCCGGAGCCGCCCGCAAGGGCTGCTGAGAAACCCACGAACAACACAACAGCGCTCAGAAATGCCCACATTTGTCATTTAGGGCGTTAAATACCCTCGGTGAGGGGCGGGTGTCAGGCTGTGCACAGGGAACAGGAAAAGCCAGAATTATTGATCCAAGTAACCCCCGTATGTATTTTAACTTATTTTACTCTCAGGTGAAAATTGATTGATTAGGAAATACTTGAAGTTCTAAAATTCTTCACCGTTTGGAAAAGGAGAAAAAAAAAAAACAGCGAGAAAAAGAAACTAAAATTTCAAGTGAGCCTTCCCAGTGTCATGTGTTTTTAAGCCATGGGGGTGAGGACAACCTGCACCCAGGTAACTCCACTGTAAACCTGAAGCGGCTTTGAGAGAGAAAAAGCATCGGGATTATTTTAAAGAACACATCTTGCTTTGTGGAAAGTTCCATCCAGATGTAAACAACACTTGGTAGAACCTCAAACACCATAAAATAACTTGCACAGAGCTCAAAGAACACAGCTTGAGCCACCACTGACACACATAAAAGAACCGCAAGGAGGAAAAACCAGTTCTTACAAATATACAGCAAATTACTTGATAGCTGCATTTTAAAAATATTTTCATAGGATTATTGCCAGTACAAACAGTAATTAATTCCTCTGATCAATAAGTATTTAGTAATTTGTTTCTTAATGTTTGTTTTGGATAGTTCCAGGCAAGACAAGGACTCTGCAAGCAATTAACTAAGTATCTTGCCCTTCCTTAGGCAAACAGATCCTTCTTCCATCACACAACCCACCTGAACATGTTTTCCTCAGTACTGCCCTTCATATTAAATTGAATTAGATTTAAATGAAAGATAATGAATTTAGGCTACAGTTACAGACATTCCTAGCAAGAACAAGAAAGCTGATTTCCATCCACCACAAATGTCTCTTTAATCCATAATTCACAAAAATCTTTGTGACCCATTACAAGTGCACAAGTCAGAGAACTATCAATGATTATGGAAAAAACATTCCAAAAGGAACACAAAGTTATCGTTGAGTATCCAAGGTTTCTTTGGTGTATCATGGGAACAGACTCATTTCTCCTCAGGAAATAGGAGTCATTTAGTGTTCATTTAGCTTTATTACCTTATTTTATCAGTCAGATCAGGAATAAATTGCTCATGCTGGGAGAGAACTAATTTAATGCCAAAAGCAGCAGTTTTAAACTGCAGATGTAATTCAACATAGGGTTTTATGTTTTAAAGTTTTATACAACAAACTTCAACTATATTATTTCCAGTATTTACAAACTGGCTTCTTACTTTTTCCTACAATAATTAACTTACTGGGGAAAACAAGCCATTTGGAAGGTATAAGGTATCCTCTCTCCATCCATTGAGGCTCCAAGGGCTCCTTGAGGATAGTTTTACATTAACGAAACTCTTAATTATCACTGTTATTGTATTGTTAATTGTCACTGTTTAAATTGCAGTAGAATTGAGTCTGGACAGCACAAGTAATGCAAGGACATTCAAACCCTTCCAATTTCTGTCTGCCTTTAATTTTTGTGTCACAGGCATTGTCCACCCAGAATTTAACGTGTTGTTTATTTTATCTAACACAGGCCAAAAACTACTCTCCGAAAATACTTACACTGGATCTGGACATTACTGGAATTGTGCTGGATTAGTTCTCTGAGCATTTAATTCCTGTTCCTTGTTTTTCTCTCATTTTGATTTGGTTTTGCTCATGATTTAGGGCAAAAGCCTTTGACCGAATGATTATTTTGTCTTTTAAATTTTAGCCTGGAAGAGTTGTGACCCTGGTTGAAGATGCTGAGGTACAGTACTGTTGTACAGAATGTCCTGTTGCATTTCCACTCATTAATTTTTGCTTTTTTACAAGCAGATAACTGTCTTGTCTTTAGGGAAAAGTTCTCTCAGTGTTTCCCAGAGTTAACATGAATGGCTCTTGATTGTTTCAAATAATCAATTTAAACTGGAAGTAGTTTGGGTCTGTTATTACCACAGGGATATTTTAAAGTATATTCTGGAATAGTCACTTTGGCTATCCAGTTGTGAGATGTAGAATTTGACAGAAAGATATATAAAACATACATGATTTGATATCAATATTGAATGATAAGTGTAATTGCTTTAATTTTAGCTTCACGAGGTTTGACCAGATTGTGAAACTATCTCAGCACACCACACCAGTTCAGATGTGTAACAGGTGTAGGTGACCCTCTGGTCCTTGCCAAACTGTTGCTAAACAGAAGGGACCTGATCAAAATTCCTTCAAATTCAGCATTACTTAAATTTGTCATTTTCAGACATAAATTTTATGAGGTCGGGGAGAAACTCTGTGTCCTTTTTGCCAGCTCCTTAGTGGCCTGTACCAAGGCTATTTACTACTACAAATTTTAACAATACAAGAAATTGCTCTGTTAGGAAAACCTCAGCAGTAACAGAAAAAGGATGATCAATCTGTGTGATCAGTGTTTTCACTGATAATTGCCTGAATAAAGCAGCCCTTTTACTTTGGGACTCTTACAAAGACTGCAAAAAGCGGCAGAAAGGCAGAAAGTCAGTTTACTGAAAGGTTTGCCTAAATGCAATGATTTCTGAGTATCCTCTGACCAACTCTCCTCGGCCAGGGGTGCGTGTGGGGCGTTGCCTACAGATTACCAGCTGGGAAGGAAGGAGAAGTGAAGGCCTACCTGGATTTCCGGGAGAAGGGCGGCTACAGGACCACCACGGTCATCTTCTACCCGAAGGACACGTCGGTGCAGCCCTTCGACGTGCTGCTGTACATCGGCACCCACGACAACCCCAACTACCTGGGCCCGGCGCCGCTTGAGGACATCGCGCGCCAGATCCTGGGCGCCGCTGGGCCTAGTGGCAGGAACACGGAATACCTGTTTGAGCTGGCCAACTCCATCAGGAACCTCGTGCCAGAGGATGTGGATGAGCACCTCTTCTCCTTAGAGACACTGGTCAAGGAGCTCTTGGACAAGCACCAAAATCTCAACTGTCTATAAAGTAACCTCTTAACAGCCTGGTTCTGTCTTCAGAAGAGGGGTTTTGTCAGCCGTGGATGTGTGGCAGGGAGGAATGTTCCTCTGTATTGTGCTAGTCTAATACTGCCTATCTTAATTAATGCTGCATTCAGAATAGGAGTTGGTTACTTAAAACTTCCAAAATCATTCTTTAGGAGTCCAGAGAAAGGCGAGCGACTAAAGTGTTCTATGTTTGAATTTGATATTTCCGCTTTTCACCTGAAGACTACACCTCAAGACAACCACCTAAACTTCTCTTTATGTTCTATTATTATTTCAGGTTTAAAATAAATCTTTAGAATATTTTTGAGGTCAAAATCAGCATGCAGAGACAAGTTTCCTAGATTTAAGTAATAGTTTGTTCTGACCCCAGACCACAGTGCAGGAATTTTAAGTGGTTGGCCTAAATTGTGTAGTAGAACATTTAAATCAACGTTCAACTCCTCTGAAATAAAGCTACACCACTGAATTAGTCATCTCATCCTTTATATGTAAATTTATCCTTAAATGCAGAGGATAACACATTTTATTGTAAAGCAAGTAATTCCTTCCCTTGGCTGCTGATTGTCAAGCCCTGAAAACCAAAGCTCTGGGCACTCTTGACTCAAACAAGCCATAACTTGTAAGTGCCTCGTTTTAATTTTAAATCCTAATATAAAAAATAACCCCAAAATATTACAATTAACTAAGAGCATGACTTGAAGTCACAACACAGCAAGAAGAGAAACTCTCATCTTTGTTACTTAGCTGCTGTTGTGGCCCCCATCTCTTTGAAACTCCCAGCTGCAAGGATAGATTTTAGTTTCAGGCATTCACCAACAAAAGGTAATGAAGGAAGGAACCCTCTCTCCAGTAACCTTAGGGGTGTGTATGGACATCCTAAAGAGTTGGGAGGCCCCCAGTTTAGGCTGGTAGGCTTTCCTGATGCAATCCGTCCCAACATGGACTTGTCTTGCTCCTCAAAACTCTTTATTTTTATTAACTTTTAACTGAGTGTATGTTTATATCTTAATATAAAAGATCCCGTTTCAAACACCACGCAACATCCTGTTTTCCTGTCCAGGGAATGTGTGTTTAGTAGCAGCCTGGAAGCCTGGATTCTCCATCAGTAATTGCAAAAAAAAGTGTGGTTTTCTGCTGAAAATGTTGACCCTTTCTCTTCTTTACATCTTCCTGGTTTATATTTGTAAAGGTAAAAGAGAGTGCAATGGCACTCTCTTTCTTGAAAATTCTTTTTAGATTTAAAAATTCTTTCCTCAAAGACTTATCGTTGTTCCTTAAAACAGGGCAGGGGATGCTTGTGCTCAGTAAGGATCCAATACCATCAGGGCCGATTCCACCTTTAAAATGCTAATTATTTAAGTACTGTGATTCTGTGTAGCTCCACACTCTCTATCTTTGTCTCCAAGGCTTTCTTGGTTCATTTACTTCCCAAATGCATAAACCATTGCAATAATACACATTCCTGTGTACGACTTGAGTGCAATAAAAATGCATTACAATAACTAATGGGGTTGTTAATTTCTAGAAATATTATGTTTAAAGCGTGTCTGTGTGAGGATGGACATCAAGGTGTGTGTCCATTGTGCCGTGCTGTAAAATTGCTGCTGGGGCTGACAATGACAAACCACACATAGGGGTACTATAAACTGTGGCACATTAGGAATTAATTAAAGCATGAAAAATATAAATAGATACATTTGTTCTTGCTGTGTGGGATTAAAGCCACTGCTCTGCCCCCGGCTTTGGTCCCTACCAAAAGCCTCCCAGATCTGTTGCCTCAAAAATTTTAGGCCACTTAGGCTTCATTTTTTTTCTGACTGGTTAAACTCAATCTCTGTTGATGCGAATACAGATTTTAGATCTGTAGGCTTCGCTACACAACCACGCTCACAAAGCCACTGCTAAACCTGTTCTCAAACAGTGTTTAGGGAAACACAAGCACATCCATGACTATTAACAGAAAATAATGCAGAGAGAAGGGAGAGGGAAATCCAGACTTAAGGGTTGGAGTCTATTATCTCCAAGGTATTTTCCAACCAGAATAACTCCAAGGCTCAGTAATAAGGGGATTCTCTGTAGCGTGGCCAATTAATTTCCTGTCTTTCCTTAAATTATTTATCTGCTCCATGTTTCCCATGGATCAGATGGGACTGGCCTAACCTGCTCTGATGTGAAGACTGCTGGCCCCCTTGGATTGTCATGTGTATAGGTGTACACACACAGGTGTATAGAGAGGAGCCCTTGAAATGCTCTTTTACACTCATAACCTCATACCTGTTGGTTATGTTTAACCCTTAGTGCTCACACTGATGACCAAAGACAATTACTCGCATCCAGTTCCCCCCGTCCCGTTACTCGCCCCCATTTTACCCCTCCCTCACTCATTCCCTCATTCACACTCCTAACTCCACTTCTCCCTCACACTCATTTCCTCACTTACACTCCTCGTTCAAATTCCTCATTCCCTCACACTTCTCCCCCGTCACTCACTTCCATCACTCACTCACTCGCTCACTCCCCCCCCCCACCCCGTGGTCCTTCGGCCGCTCCGTGCGCGCCCGGCCCCTCACCTGCGGCGGCGGCGCTGTCCCGGATGCGGCGGCGCTGCCCCGGTTGTTGATCGCGGCTGCCGGAAGCCGACGTGGCGGCGGCGCGGCGCGGCCTCGGCGGAGCCGCCGGCCGGCATGAGGGGCTGCGGGCTGCGGCCGCCCTGCCCGGCCCCGGCGCTGCTCTGCGGGCTCCTGGCGGCCGTGGCCGCCGTGGCCGAGGGCGGCCGAGCGCTGCCGCAGCTCAGCGACGACATCCCGTTCAGGATGAACTGGCCTGGCACCGAGCTCAGCCTGGTCGGTACCGCCGGTCAGAGCGGAGGGCCCCACGGCCCGGAGAGGGGCTCTGAGCCCCTCGCCGCACAGGGGGCTGGGGGGGCTGGCCCGTCGCCGGAGGGAGCCGGCAGCTGCAGAGAATCCCGGGGAGCCTGTGCCGCAAGTGGCATGGAGAGGGCTGGGAGTGAGGGTGGTGGCTGGGGCTGTAATAAAGGGTGACATGGATGAGCAGGAGTCAGGGGAGTATGGAGAGGATCGGGGATATGGCTGGAAGTAGAAGGTCCAAAGCGAACCACCAACCCCCAGTCTTGTGGTAGAATTAAATCCCAGGAAATATTCTGGAGCACCACTCAGGAATTCAGGGGTGTTTCTAATGAGTAGCATTAAAAAGGCCCTGCCTGGCTGATCCTTGAGTTGGTTGTTTTCTCAGCCGACCACTGGTGTCTTGTACAAGGAGGACAATTATATCATCATGACCACTGTGGATAAAGAGAAGTACAAGTGTCTCCTGCCATTGATAGCCAGTGGCAACGAGGTGAGTTCAGGCGAGTTATTATGTAAATATAAACTGTAGCTGGGTCTTTACCTTAGCAGTTTTAATATAGTGAAATATCCTTTTGTTGCAGGAAGAAGAAAAAGACTATAAAGGTCCTACTCCAGGGGAGCTGCTGGAGCCTCTCTTTAAGCAAAGCAGCTGTTCCTATAGAGTATGTTACTTCTGTCTTGTTCATTAAATGCTGATTTAAAGGTTACAGGCCAGTCCATGTCAAGGTTTTAGGGTAGTAAAGGAGATACTGATACAGTCTGAAACAAGGTCTTTACAACTTTATGCCTTAGTATTGCTGACAAAATTCTGTGTGATTGAAGTTGTCAGAATTCAGATAAATGGGTTGCTATGGTAGAAGTTAAAAATGGATTTTTTTAAAATTTACTTCCTTTGTTTTATTTGTGTGAAAGTCAAGAAAGTCTTCTCTGGTTTTTGAGCAACACTGAGACCACTCACTATGCTCTTGTTTTTGAGGGTACTCCAACATTTTGCTGCAAAAGCCAGCATTTGGGTGGTTTTGTGGTGTGTAAATACATCTAAATATATTTTTTAAATGTATTTTATTTCTAAGATTGAATCTTACTGGACTTATGAGGTCTGCCATGGGAAGCACATCCGTCAGTACCATGAGGAGAAGGAAACGGGACAGGTAAGCTGCTCACAAACCCTTTCCCCACTGGCATGTTCCTGCTGAACTCCTCCAGCAGGCTTGAATTGTTGTAATAATTTAGCCACGACTGTTTTCTTCATGCAGAAAAACTGCATCTTTATTGCACAGGACATATTTTATAGCATTATCACAAGGCACTGTGTCAGATATTACTGGTTGACAATACACTTACACTTAGTTCATTGCTTGGTACATGGTATTTTGCATGTCTATTAAACTTCTGCATTTTTAGTTAGTTTACATACTTTTTTACTGATTCTCATGAGACAGAGCTCTTTTTATTACAGATTCCACTTGTTCTTCACCCTAGAAATAGATTGTTGTGTAATGAACTCTCATTCCCAAAATTGTTTCATATGGGAACTTGCAAGCTATCTGCACTTAGAAGTGACAGACTAACTTTGGCACTTCAGCAGAGCAAGGCCTGATTTCATAAGACCTTTCTTTTATAACTTTTTTTATCTATTTGCAACATTGAATTCCCTGAAAAAGCTTGGAAAGTGGTAACTGATGTTTGTTTTGATTGTAGAAAATAAACATCCAAGAATACTACCTGGGGAATATGATAATGAAGAACCCGTTATTAGAACCAGGTGTGTTTTAGATTATTTCATTCTGCTGATAATGAATTTTTGGGTTTTAATTATTCCTGTCTGTCCAGTTTGAGAGCCATTTTTAAAGGGAACCTGGCACAGATCGTCAGAAATATTCAAGTGTCTAGAGTGGGACTTGGGTGGAAATGAGGTTGCTGAGCCCCAAACTCAAGGAGCAGTTTAGTATAACTGATTTTTGGAGCATTTTTTGCCTGCAAATTAGTTCAAAGAAGTCTTCCAAACCTACAGACTAAGTGTTCATTCAGGGTTGATGGAAAGAATAGAAACAGAATAGAAAAACATCACCTAGGATGGGGTGTTTGTTTCATTCTAGGCTAGTGTGTGAAAGACAGACACCATTGTTTTCCTAGAAGTGATTAACTGGAATGCTGCAGTTTTTTGGGGGGATTTAGTGCTGTTCATCCCACTTCTGGATCTCTGGCTGCAGTGCTGAGTTAGGGATCTTAGTCCTGGAAAGATCCAGGGCTTCAGAACATGCCTTGTTTGGCCCTTCTGGGTGTGTGGGTGCAGTGCCTGTGCAGAGGTGCCTTGTTCTGCTGCTGCATAGAGCACAGAATGTTTGATTCGAGTCACCCATTTTGTGGGGCTGGATGTTGAAGCGTGATGGGATCTCAGATCACCATAGCCGAGGCTGTCAGGCTGTTGTCCCTCTGCCCTTCCTGCTCAGGTGGCAGATTGTGTCCTGTGTCCTTTCCCTGCTTCCTGTCTGGCAGCTCCTGTTCCTTGCAAAGCACCTGCCTGTTTCCTGTCCAATTCCCACCCTTCCCAAACAGCTGCAGTGACGTGTTCTCCAGCCCTGCCTTGGTGTCAGGGCTGGATTTGGCCTGTCCTACCAACTCCAGGTGGTTTTGTGATGAACTGATGTGTATTTTGCTCTGTTTGCTGTGGGCCTCAGATCACTAGTTATTTCCTTTCTTTCCTATTTTGCACCTGCAAGTGGCTCTTGGCAGTGTATAAAGCACCAGCAAATACACAAACCAGAAAAGCTTCTCTGTGAAATTCCGTTTTTTTTTTCAAATGCACAAACTTAACCTCGTTCTTAATTATTCCCTAGATCAAGAAGAGAAGGAAAATTCCAAAGATGGTGCAAAAGAGGCAAGTGAAAAATATCTATTTTAATTTCTGCCATCAATAGTGGAGGCAATTTATAAATGATCATAGAATCTGAGAATGGTTTGTGTTGAAGGGGACCTCAAAGATATCCAATGCCACCTGCCATGGGCAAGGGATACCTTCCACTATCCCAGGTTGCTCTAAGTCTCATCCAGCCTGGCCTTGGACACTTCCAGGGATCCAGGGGCAGCCACAGCTTCTCTGGGCATCCTGTGCCAGGGCCTCCACCCTCACAGGGAGGAATTTCTTCCTAATATCCAATCTAATGATAAGATGATGTAATTAGTCCGCTCCCAAAATGAATATCAATAAATGGAACTGTTCCTGAGATGCACTTCTCTTGCTTTTAATTATCAGTCCTAGCTCAGAAAATTTATTTAGTCTTGCTGCTCAAATTACTTACTTATTGTTATCAAAGCCTTGCAGCACAAAATCCGTAAGAGATGGAGCTGACTTGCTGACCCATCCCATAATACTCTACTCTGTGCTTCCCTTTCCCCTTAGAGGACTTCTCCACTTGTTTAGGCCCCAAAACTCAACTCTTGAGTTGCTGATTCTATAGCAGAGCAATGGCAGTACCTGAAGCACGCTGGAATTTGGAATTAGTGAGAGCAGGTTTGACCTTGTTGCCAGTTCCCCTTAATTTTCATGCTGAAATGAAGTCTTTGTGTCTGTGGCCTTTGGAATAGTCCAGGGTGGTGGTTGTGTAGTGTTCTCAGCAGTACCCAGGCCTGAG